GCTTTGAAGTTGAAAATAGACTGTAAATGTCTTTTGTGTGAGATGAAACATGATAAGACATGAAACCAGGAGGCTAAACTGTAGTTAATCACAGCGGTTTTACAAGCAACAAATCATTATTGTAGACAGTAAAGTGTATCGCTTAAAAGCGTGCGCCACAAGGCTCGGCAGAGAGGAGAGCTCTGGCCGGGCATCACCTGCCACCAGTGGGCTTGCAGGTCGTGGTCCATCAGGGCAGCCGTGGGAGCAGCCATGGCGCTGGATTGATGCTGGCACAGGGCTGGATCGATGCTGGCACAGGGCTGGGTGGATCCTGGTGCAGGGCTGGATCGATGCTGGCACAGGGATGGACAAATGCTTGTGGTACTGGATCGATGCTGGCGCAGGGCTGCACCCATCCTGGCACAGGGCTGGGCTGATGCTGGCACAGGGCTGGACCAATGCTCACGCAGGGCTGGACTGATGCTGGCACATCCCGGAGCAGCTTTCCCCAGCGGACCGATGTGTTTTGGGGATGGTTCATCCACGCAAGTGTGGGGGGAGGGCAGGAGCACTGTGGGCATCCCTGCACTGGCACTGCAATTCTGGAGGCTGGCACCAGCCCTGGCTGTGCCTGCAGCATGGGTTGGGGTTTTGGCTGGGGGCGATTTTTGTTTAGCCTGGGAAAAAGGAGGCTGAGGGGAGCCCTTATCGCTCCCTACAACTGCCTGACAGGAAGGGGGAGCCGGGGGGGGTCGGGCTCTGCTCCCAGGGAACAGGCAATGGGACGAGGGGAAACGGCCTCAAGTTGTGCCAGGGCAGGTTTAGGTTGGACATTGGGAAAAATTGCTTCCCCGCAAGGGCTGTCAAGCCCTGGAAGGGGCTGCCCAGGGCAGGGGTCGAGTCCCCACCCCTGGGGGGATTTAAAAGCCGCGCAGCTGAGGCGCTTAGGGCCAGGGTTTAGTGGTGGGATGGCGGGGTTAGGGTAACGGTTGGGCTTGGTGATCTTAAAGGGCTTTTCCAACCCAAACAATTCTATGACTCTATGTTTCTATTCTATGATTTGTCCCACCCTGGGCAGACTCTGGGATACTCATGCAGGGAAAGCCACCCCCAAAAATGTGGGATATACTTGGGCCGAGGACGGAACCTGCAGTGAACACAGCCCTTTGGGCACGGGAAGGGCAGCTCTGCCGCCAGCTCACGCCGTGTCCTGGCACAGCCAGCAGCTGCTGCAGAGCGCAGGAGCGCACCTGCACCGCGGCACGCACGGCCGGCCCAGGACAGGTATATCCTACATCAAAAATGAAGATCGTGATTAGAAGTGATGTGCACTTGGGAGCCTGAGATAAGACCCCAAAGCAAGCATATAAGTATGACTGATTAACAAATAAGCCCTCACTAATTGTCTTAAAAAGTTGGATCTCAACAGCCAGGGAAGGGGAAAAAAAAAAAAAGAAATATTTAAATTTTCCTTGGGCTAAACATTTTTCTGGCTCGCTCAGACTCGCTCTGAATGTTTCCAGTCATAATCTCCCTAATTAACGCACGCTGCAAACCAAAAACAAATTTCCCCACCTCGTGGCTCTGGGAGGTTCAGCCGGATTAAAGAAACCTCAGGAACAAGGTCAGCGATTGCCCCCTGCCCGGTGAGCAGCGTCTTGGGGTGGGAGGCAGCCCGGAATAGGGAGAGATGAAGTTATTATCGGCAAATGAAGTGGAATAAGCCTTTAATTTTCTCCAGCTGTTGCTGGATGCGCCGAGAGAGAGGTGAGCTCCCCGGGATGCAGGGAGCGAGCCAGGAGATGGGGAGGCACCTGACAGCCCCCCGCATCTCGGGGGAATCAGGGGCGGGTAGTGGGTTTTTAATTACCATCACTTCATTTTCTGTAATTAACACAAATGCGGCTCCAGCCCTTATTTCATTTTCACAGGCCCAAAAGGAATTAAAATAAACCTTTTTAAAAAGCAAACCGATGCTCCAAGAGCCCATCACCGGGATGAGACCTTGGCACGGCTTGGGATTGTGGCTGGGGCCAGAGGTCCCTGGTTGCCCGGAGTGGACTGTGCAAGAGCACCCCAAATCAAGCTGCGCTCCCTGCCCCAAGGCGCGCCCCAATGTGTAAAACCACAGAAGCGCTGCTTTGGGGTCCCAGCGCATGTCTACAGCCAGGTGCATCCTCCAGCCCTCGGCATGCCACCGTGCCCATGGACCTGCCAGTATGAGGGAGCCCACAGCCTCAGCCGCGGTGGGAAAAACTGTTGATCAAAGTGTAAAATTAAATAAACTGGCACAAACAGAAAAGAAGGAGCCATCCCTGCGAGGCCGGGCAGCCCGCTTGAAACACAGGTGAAAATTCCAGGTAAAAGCAGACGGCTGCAGGTGGAGGAGTGCCTGGCCAGCCGGCTCACTCCTCCCGCAGCACTGGCTCCAAGGAGTAACAGTAATTAGAGCTTCCTAATGCCTCCAGCTCATTTTCTTTTTCCTTGAGTAACGTAATTTCTATAGGGCTTGTTGTCTTTATTAGGAAAATTAATCTAAATCTCTCTGTGCTCTGTCCGCTTTGCCGTCCACCGGAGCCATCCCAAGGAGGGTCAGAGGCAGGTCCTCTTCATGGCATGCAAATAAAAAAAAATTAAAAAATTAAAAAGGGAGGTCAGCTGGAGGCTACGGCAGAGGAAATTAATGATTTTTTAAACAACCAGGGAAGTTTGCGTCGGCCTGGTAATGTAATTCAATTTCTGTCGTTAAACCTGCGTCACTGACGTGAGGCTGCTTTTGCCCAACTAAGCAAAATCCTCTTATTAAGCCAGAATTGTCATTAGGGCAAGAATAAAATGAGGGTGAATGGCAGAGGGGATGGAGGCTATGGGGATGCATGGTGCCATGGGGCCAGGGAAGGGCAGAGCAGGTTTCTTCCCACCCTGAGCAACCAGCACCCCGGGGTGCCCAGGATGGCTGGGGGCGCTCAGCGGAGCTGGGAAAGGAGCAGGGATGGGATCTGCCGCTGCAAGGTTGCATCCTCAGCACCAAGCACTGCTGATACCATTGGCCAAAATCCCTGCTGGCATTGGTGGCTCTGGCCAGATTTCCAGGAAAACGTCCCATCCCTATTTAAACCATCCGGAGTTTTTTTTGGCTGCGGGTAATTTTCCTTCTCGTTACTGCTATGCCCACCCCAGCTTCCTCCTTCTCTCCCTGCAACGCCTGGGGAAGGGTTAGGAAAAGCACTTGCACCCTCCCGTGCCTGTGTCCACAAACTGCAAGGCGGCATGGGAGCATGTCTTGGTCCCCCGTGGCACCCATCCCACAAGTGGGAGGAATTGTCACCGGCCCCCCAGAGAAACTCCCAAGGGGGTTTCCTTCCACCACTGCATCTTGGGGAAAACCAGCCCCAAAAACCCCACCTTCCCCCCCAGCGCCATGGGTGAAGGGCAGCGGGGCAGTGGGTGTCCCATGGTGGGGGATGGATGGATGAGGATGGGATCTGTGGATGGTCTCATGTGCACCCAGCTGGGAAGCAAAGGAAGGGCACCAGACCAGGAGGAAAGCAGCGGACCAGAGATTCAATTGGTCAAAAAGCAGCTTGAACCTTCAGACTGGAACCTGATTAGCAGAGCCAGAGGGCGTCTGGCACACTGGGAAGGCAGCGAGGGCAATGCCACAGGGCACGAGCCTGGCAGATGTGGCGCTGGCTCCTGTGTTCCAGAGCAGACTTTACCCCCTTGGAACTGGAGTCCAACAAAGCCCAGCTCAAGTCTGCAGCCTCCACGAACCCGGTATCCAGCCCTGCTGAGGCTAAGAGACCTCTGGGAGGCAGGGAAGGGTCGTAGCTTCCAGTCCTGCAGGCAACTTCACGTGGGGAAACTTGTGAGACACCGCTAAAACTCCTATCCCTTCTGCCTGGAAAATCCTGCCAGCCCAGAAGGTACTAAGACAACACTACATAAAAGCTAAAATCAGCTTCAACTGGACAAAAAATGCTGACTGGAGGGAAAAGGAATCATAGAATCATAAAATCGTTGCGGTTCGAAAAGCCCTTTAAGATCATCAAGCCCAACCGTTACCCTAACCCTGCCATCCCACCACTAAACCCTGGCCCTAAGCACCTCGCCTGCCCAGCTTTTAAATACCCCCAGGGATGGGGACTCGACCCCTTCCTTGGGCAGCCCCTTCCAGGGCTTGACAGCCCTTGTGGGGAAGGAATTTTTCCCAATGTCTCCAGGCTGAACACCCCCAGCTCCCCCAGCTGCTCCCCAGCAGCCTTGGGCTCCAGACCCCTCCCCAGCTTCCTTGCCCTTCTCCAGACACGCTCCAGCCCCTCCGTGTCCTTCTGGGAGTGAGGGGCCCAACCCTGAACCTAGCATTCGAGGGGCAAAACCTTCCCTAATGGAAGTTTTGATCCCAAGAATGCCTGAAGGTCTCCAATGCATCAGCATCTCCCTTCCACGTGGCAAAACCTGGGGTAATGGTAACAGATACAGGATAAAACCACAGGCACCAACCTCAGGCCAGTCCTTTGGGTTGTGAGGCCACACTGGATGCGGGACAGCGCATCCCCACACCTCGGCTCACAGGATCCACAGCTGGAGACAAAGCCTCCAGGTGAAATCTGCTCTCAGCTTTCTGGCCAGGGCTTTGTACCTGTGTTTGCACCTGCATTTGTGCCTGCCTTGCATGCATCCCGCCACCAGAACAGCCTCCCCATCCTTTCCTCCAAAACTGGGAAAACTGAGTAGAGAAGGAATCCCAGGGCAGATCCGCCAGGCACCAGAGTGCCATCACCAGTGCTTTTTAAAAAAAAAAATAAATAAAGAGGTTATTTCTCGGACACAGTGAATCAGTGCTTTATTTTCAGTATTGAAAGAGGCACAAGGCCAGCAGTGAGCTCCAGGTAACGAGCTGGCACGTTGCACTTTATCACTGCCCTTGTAATGCCTGGACTGAGGCAAAACGCATGCAGAGAAAAAGCCCCCGGTGCGCCCCAAGTGCCGCTGCGGCATCGCAGCCACACCAAACCACTCGTGTGTTGCACCAGAGCTGCACCGCCGGACCCCACGGCTCAGCAAAGGTTTGCTGTCTTCAAAATTCCCTGCACATTGATTTCAGTGGAGGATTTGGTTTCTGGGACGGGGAGGGAAGGCCACGAATCAGATGCGGAATTAAGGATAACGCGGTGTCACAGCCCTTCCGAGCGCAGAGGGAATGCGGATGTGATTCCTGAAGCCTGAGTTGTGCAAGGTGCTGCCTGTGAGCCTGACTCTGGCCTCCCTTGCACCAGTGTACAGCAAGGAGGAACCGTTAGTGCCGCTGGGGTTTACAGCACAGTGATAAATCAACGCAGAATCAAGCCCAGAGGAGATGTGAAATCTAGAACTGCCTCTACTGTGTGCAAGATGGGTAGAGGGGTGAAATACCTGGCTGCTGTCTAGCTGGATCATAAAATCATCCTTGCCCTAGCACCCTGGAAGGGTTTATGTAGAGCAATTCATACCATGACCCCAGCCCAGAATAGCAGCAGGGATTAACCCAGACTCTGCCCGCAGCTAATCCAGCGTTACTCCCTGGAAATGCCAGCAGAGCGACCCTGGATTGCATCAGTTCCAGGCCAGAATCAGCCCCTCCCAGCTGTGATCTGGAGAGGGTTCTGGCTCGGCTGAAGTCAACAGCAAAACCACCCCCGAGCTCCACAGAGGCAGGACCGCAGGCACATGTCCTGCTTTAATGGACAAAACCAAACGGGTGCAGCAGTAGCTGCTGCTGGCAGGGGCAAGGATGCTGGGGAGAGCGGATGGTTGGGGAGGGGGCAAGTGTGGGTAAAATGAAGAGCTGTAGCCTTTGCATCACCCCAACTGGTGTGAAACACCCTTGGGCACAGGCCACCCGGCAAGCACAGAGCTTCAGCAACCCCATTTTCCCTTTGCCTCCTCCGTGCTCCTCCCAGCACCCCGAATCGGAGCAGCCCTGAGGAGGGAACCAGCCTGGGGAAACCAGGAGCTTCTTTGGGGTTTCTCTTTCTCCCGGTGCCCCCTTGACCGGAGGGTGCACCCCAAGGTGTGAGCGCAGGATCAGCCCAAGAGCAGTGTGCCAAGAAGAGCAGCTCGCTTACTTTTCCTTCAGGTCCTCGTCTGCTTTGCCTAAAAGAAGGGGATGAAAAATCAGGGCTCGTGTTTTTTGCTCCAGAACACCCAGCCCCTTTTCTATGGTTATTTCACTACGCGTGGCTAACGTCTCACAACCATCACAGTCCAACAAGCAGGACAGCAAGTCGTGGTCCCCTGAACTCAGCCTCCCAAAGCCTTTTTCTGACTCTGGGGAAGCAAACAGCACGATAGCCACAAGGGCAAGCAGCCCTGCCCTTCTCCACAGACCCAAGCCCCACCCGTAGGGCAGCCGCAGTATTCAGAGCTCCCACCCGCCTCCTGCGAGGAGCAAAGCAGCAAACTCCCCCAGCCCCACTGCGCCACCGCAGCAGCTCCCTGCCCTCGCTTTGCACCACCAGCAGAAAAGCCCCAACGCTCAGCTGCCCCTCGGACACGCCACCGAGCCACCAGCTGAGCAGTCCGACGCGTGTGAGATTTATTGAGGATGCGAGTGGCTCCTTGGCTTATCTGAGCAGGCAGCTACGCCCCACCGAAAGCAGTGCATCGCACACGGCACAGCCTGGCTATCAGCAGCTGCCCCCAAAATAACTGTGTGGGCTGAAACAACTGCCAAGCCACAGCCTGTACCTTTTGGGACAAACTTCAGCGAGCTGCTGAATATTCAGAAGCGGGACTGCCCCCTCTTCGGTCCATCGTTGAGGAATTCATGGCCGAGCCCGTTGCCACACTTGCCACAAGACACCTAGAAACGCAAGGAGAGGGTTCATCAGCAAGTGGTCTTTCTGAGCAGACAGGCTCGGGGGAAAAAAGCCCCTGGTTTTTTTTTTTTTTTTGGGGGGGGGGTGTTTTGCTGCTTCCCAAGGGTTTCTGAATCAGCACCTTTAAAGCCCCCGGCCGCTCCTTGCGCTTGGCCACGCTGTCCTCGTGGATGGTCTCGGTGAAGGCTGGCCACGGGGACGAGTGCTCGTACTTGGCGCGGCTGGAGAACAGCTCATGGCCGCACTTGGCACAGACGTAGATGCCTGGGGAGGGCAGCAGGAGAGGGGTCAGCACTGGGGGGCAGCCCCCGGCCCCGCTCCGCAGCCCCCTCCCAGCAGCGATTGCCGGGGGTCAGAGGGCGGGTGGGCAGCGGTGGGGACACAGCAGCAGAGTGACACGGGACACCAGCGCCGGACTTTGCCCGCGTGGGCCGCTGCCGCCAGACCCCCAGGGCCACGCAGGGGAGAGGGAGTTTTTGGGACCCACATCCCCCATAGGGACTCCTCCACAGGACGGGTCCCCTCCACGCCCAGGGGTTCCCCCGGGCCGACCTTTGTAAGCAGCACCCCCCCAGCTTCCCCCCCCGGCCCCACGG